CACCTGGGTGCTCATATAGATGTCTTGCTTTTTCGACGCCGCGCTCAGGTTTGATGTGGTCATCATCCCCAACCCCTACCTGGCGCTAGGGGAAGGCTCTCGAGAGGCGAGTGGGATGAGGGGACTGTCGGAATGAACCCATGGGATTCCCTTAAAGGAAACCGCCAGCTGGATGGGGTCATTCCATGTCTCATTCCCTGAGCACCAGCAAGTTTTGTTCCCTTTGTCTTGGATTGGTTTCCCTTCAACAATCAAAACAATACTTGCCAGGGTTTCTGGGGACTTTCCTTGGGAAGCCCCGTGTGCACTTGCATTCGAGGGAGGGGTCCCTTAAGGCTCATTGAACGTATCGAATCCCTCTTTCTTATCCGGGGCGGGGTGAGGTCTGAAAACTTGGTCATCGAATCGTTTTGAGGGTTTTGGGAATCCGCCTTCTGGGCTTTCTTCAAAGGAAACCAGTTGGATAATTTATGAGTCATTCCCCATTCCCTGCTGAGAACCAGTGAGAAAAGGAGAGAAGCCCCTTTGCGGTTCCCGCAAACATCGTGCCCAAAGGCAACCCTTTTTGGCTTGGTTGAGGCTTACATGCGGAAATTGTTATTCAACATGGGTGGCTGTCCTCTCTCTTGCTTTTTCTCCGAAAGCCAACAGATGTTCCCAAATAATTCATGGGAAGCCAAGATTGAGCAACTGGTCAATGAGAGATGAGCAAAAGCGAGGGGCCTTTGATTTAGGTTCCTGGCAGGTTGTCAAAAGCAAATCGCCCTGACATTGAGTGCCTCATCGAAACATGTCAAGCCTTTGCCCGAAGCATGGGGACCTTTCGCTTGGTGTCCGAACTACGTTCCCTATCGTCCATTTGCTTAAGAATATTGTTTTTCTTCCCAAGGGAATCTATCACTACTGTGTTTTTTTTTCTTTCTTTTTTTTCCCCCATCGGGCTTAAGCAAATAAATGCTACACAGTATGTTACCCCGTGCGCGGGGTTCTCACCATATTCCCCGCCTGGGTGGGTCTGAGCATCTCCTGCGGCGGCTCCAAGAGACAGCGCAAGCGAAGGTTCAGCAGCTGGTGAAATATGTACTGAAGCACTACCCGCCTGAGGACATCATCATCTTGGCACCGCGCTTAACGTGACTTCCCAATGTTTCCTCCATTGTTGTGTGGGGGGGGGGGGGGGTTCTATTACGTGATTTAGCAAGGATCATGATGTCATTGCATCAGACGTAGATGCACATATCACGTGTATATACATATATACACATAAACAACCATCTCCACGAGCTTCGGGCGCTGGTCAAGGGTCAAGTATCAAACCCAACGGGCGGGGCGCGAGTGGAGTGATGAACTGCTGCCCTTTCCATCGATTGTGGTCATGATGGACAGATGCCCCTGAGAGCTTGTGGCGAGCTTCAGGGATGAGCAAATGAGCAGGGATCGTTGGTTTTGCCATAATTTTAACTAAATCGGGGAGCAAACGAGGAAATGGCAGCAGGTGAAGGTTCTACGAAGAGTGAGAGTTTTGGGGTTTTTGGCTTCCTCCCAGCCCGGAAACCCCCAATTTATTTAGCGCAATTCCGCTCCCGGTCTTGAGACCCCAAACCGCGTGTCCAAGATGTCGTCTTTCATTGGAGGCCGAGAGCATCCAGGCAGATGCTGTTAGTGCTGGTCCACTGCCAGCTTGGTCCGAGGATGGCAGAGACCCGGAGAAAGATGACGTCCTGCCTCAAGGCAGGGGGCGTGGGTCTAGGGGACCCCTTGGTGGACATGATTGAGGTGGGGATTCATGTCCACCAACCACTTTGGAGGGGGTTCCCTATTGAGATTACCAGCCAGATTAACAAAGTCCTGGTAGGGCCATTAGGGGGTGTCCCCTTTGGAGTGCAAATATCGATCACTTTTGTGGGTGACACCCGCTTATAGGAGGGGTTTATAAAGCTCAACATTGACATGTAGCCAAACTACAGTCCTACGCACTTCCTGAGCCTTTTCGAGTTCCATGTGAAGAGCCTGCGGATCCAGTCAAATACTTTTACAGACCGGGTCCCAGATCAAACCCCAAAGAAGAAGTATGACTGACAGTTACTGTAAGCCTTAGAGCTTATTTACCTGCAATTTACGTCGCTTTTTGTCTTATCCTTAAGGGGGTAAATGTGCCAGGGGTCCGGTGGCACAACCTTTGAATGAGAGGTGGCGCACACACCAGGTTTACTCAGTTTCTCAAAGATGACCAACTCGCTCCCTGAGTTCTTGGACTTTCTACTGCCTGGATGTGTCTTCACATGGGGGACTCACCCGAATCCTCTTGAAAGCCTACCTCGAGGGGAAAAAAACAAATCGCATCCTTTCGGGTTTGGACAATTTCAAGCGACAACACCAGTTTGGACTTTTTAAGCAATTCCTCAAGGGGTCTTCTTTCGGGAGTTTCATTCAACCAATTTGCCCAAAACCGAATCTTGACGATCGGTCGGTTGGAGCCCAGGGGGTTCTTGGGTTTGGGGGGCGGGGGGGTTTGGGTACCACCTGGGCTATGTTTTTTGATTTGGGGGGGAGGTTCCAAACATAGGGCCCCTTTCTGGACCTGGTGCCACCGGAAATGTCTTCCAAACCTGGGGCGACGAACACGGGCCCCCTCATAACTCATTTTAGATGCTAGGTTCTCTACAAGGACAAGCATCAAAGAATATCCATGCGATGTTTGATCGGGCGGGCAAAGCGGAAGATCATGTGAATCGACTGGCCGGTAGGCTGCATATGTTTGGAATATTTTGGAAGCTTTGCTTTGGTGAGTGTCTCGTCACATTGGAAATCCCGAGGTTTGAATCCACTTGAAGAGGACCACCAGGGGATTGGTTAGGGGCGCGGAAACCCGTGCCCTGAGGGGTATTTTCCAAGATGGTTGGTGTCCACCCCAGCGAAACCATTGCCCTCAAGGGAGAAGGAGGTGTACAGCCTGATTTTGGGTTGCTCAGCCAACAAAACCCCCTGCCGAATTGGGGCCATGAGCCATCTTGGATGTGCTGTGTATCAGTGTATCACTGCGGTATCACAGGTGTTGGGAGATGTTCCACGTGCGCCTTTCAGGCGCCAAAGAGCTGTCCTTGCGGGGCTTCATCTACTTCCTGAGGGAGGCACCAAGCTGGTGCTCCGAGAGCTGAACGTTGGATTTCTCACCAGCGAATCCCAGTGTGTGTTGAATTTCATTTTTGAGGGTGGGTGTCCCGAAGCGGATCCCCTTGAACATATATTCCTGCTTAGTTGTCCTTGAAATGCAATCAAAGCTTGTGAACCTGTTGGGTTTCCAAGATAAACCCGCAAGACTGGTGGTACAACTCTACCCCTCAACAAATCAAGCTTTGCCTGAAAGCACCACCAAACATGTCCGGACATCACCGAGAGGAGACAACTCGTAAACATGTCTGGGCAAGTGATGATTGTTTTGCGGGACCCCTTTTGGTTGATGTTAAAGAAAAACCCAAAGGTACTTATTATAAGGACTCTTGCGACCCACTCAACACTGGAGAGCCACATCCGACCAGCTGGCAGAAAGCCCCCCAATCCACTCGCCAGCCATGGGAAACCAAGAATCGACACCATATCTTCTAGTGATTGATGTTCAAGGGAACCGCCTCTAAACCCAAGAAACACAGGGTTATCAGCAGAGGAGGTCTTTCGCCTGGGTGCTTTGAAGGGCTTTCCGAACCTGGGACGTTTTAAGTCTCCAACAAAACATCAGTTGGAGCATTTATTAACTAATCAGACTTACTAAAAGGGGTATCACGTGAGACATCCAATGCCAGCAGCGAAGGAAAAAGGACGATTCGCTTGCGGCACGACGTGGGGTCGTTTGCTTGCATTGACGGCTCAATGAGGAAGGTGTTGGTGCGTTGCTGCGATAGTGACCGGAAGAAGAAATGAGAGGCACCGCAGCCAGTGGCAGTTGCTTTTTAGAAGGGTGGGGGTTGCCTTTCAATTTCATCAACCACAAAAGAAGTGCTTGTTTTTTAGTTTCCATGGCCCGGGGCAAATAAGTTCACGTTGGCCCCTGAGGAAAAAATATGGTGGTTTTCATCAGGCAGGCTTCCCGTAGTGACAGAACTTCTGCACATTGCAAGTAACCGTGATGGTTAGGGGGGTTGCGTGGTACCCTCCCGTGAAAGGCACAATGGCTCACAGGGATGTTTGGTGTCTCCCCTCCAAGTCCTTAATTCAAGCAAACACTTGCTCCTTTGAGCGGTGGTGGCGCTTAGTAACCATCATTGCCAGGGGCTACACGCAGATGTGGGCTTGGGGTGCTGAAAGGAGGGGCAGGTCCGAGCGGTAGGTTCTGTGCAGGTTCCACGTACTAGTCGGTTCCATGTAGAGGCCTTTTTTGGAGGCCCCTGAAGGACACATTCCCATACGCTGCATGCTGCTAGCACCTACGCAGGATACGCTGCGCACTCTGTGCTCGGTAGCCGCTGGTGCTATGCATGCGTGCTGCTGTTGGCTACGCTACGCGCTATGCTGCTATGCAGTGCACACATGCTGTGCGCCTCCTGCATATTGCATATACCCTTACATGCCCTCTTGCATGGGCATACAGCGGGGGTTTGTCTCAAAATTACAGATCCCCCTGCAAGTCGCTGGTTTCCTTTTGGTGTCCCTTAAAAACCATCCCCCAAAAATATAAGAGGGAACCCCAAAAAGTGGTTGGGTTCCTATTGAGATGCACACTTGTGTATTATGGAATCCCTAAGGGGGGGGGAAGTACCAGGGTTGAGAGCCCTAGGGTTCCTTAGGGGCCCCTTTTGCCGGACCACGGTTCCCCAAATACAGGTTTGTCTCAAAATAGTTTGGAACCTCAAAAGTGGTGGCAATGAATCTCCACCGCCAAGAAAAAAACTATTCAGATTCACACCCTAGGTTTGTCTCAAAACCGGGGACCTCCCGAGGTTTGGTTCCCCTTTGGTTTTCCCGCAAAAACATCCCAAGGCCGCTCGGCACCCGCTCGTCTTTAGGTGCCCGGTGCCACGTCCTGTCCCGGCAGCGTGTGCCTCGAGGAGTGCAGCGGGGGACCCCAGAGAGAGCCCGCGGACCGCGGGCGGACCGCGGGGGACCCGCCGGCCGGAAGAGGAGCGATGGAGTTGCCGCAAAAGCGGAGGTTGCAGAACCTGGTCATCCCGTGGTCCCAAGGAAGGTTGTTTGAGCGAGAACATAGAATATCGGGGGGGGGGGGGGAGGTTGAACGCGTTTCAGATCAAGATATTCACTGGGCAAGGGTTCCTCGATTGATCCCCTCATGCGATGAAGGGTTTGACAGAATGCGAGGTAGTGTTGGGTTTCTGCGATTGGAGGCCCTTGTCCAAAGTACTTATAGGGTCCCCCGATCATCCCCCAGTTACCCAGTGGCACCCTTTGTGCAGTGCTTCCAGGCAAGCCAAGCCAGTATAGTAGTAACTAAGGTATTCTGCCTCTAGGCTATACATGATGGTTTCCACTGGTTATCTACTATAGTGGCGGCTCCCGGTTCCGTCCCAATGGAAAACAAACACGACACGCAGATGAACAGAAGGGGCCGATTCCAAGGGGATGCTCTCTGAAAGAATCTTGATTTACAATGGTGTGTGTGGTTGTGTTGTGCGTTCCTTTCTCGGTCCCCCAGTAGTGCCCTTCTACCCTTTTTGGGGGCAGGGTTCCCCTACTAAAATAGAGTACAGCAAAAAAAGAGGGTGCCCTTATTCTATTCTTTCTACTGGAGGACCTAGCTTTTCTTGGTGCCGCTCACGAACACTTGGCATTTATGCCAAGGGTTCGGTGTTGATCTGCAACTGGCCCCTGAGACAAATAGACCCCTGGCACCAAGCCAGGTGGCAACGCCACGAGTGGGGGGGAGACCGCCGCAGAGCCGCGTGGGGCCCAGTGGCACACTCTCCAACGAGGGATGCCCAAGTAAACGGTTTCAAAGGGAAGCCAGGACTTGGAAAAGTAATGTTTCCGGGTCTCTCTCTCTCTCTCTCCCTCTCTCTCTCTCTCTCTCTCTCTCTCTCTCTCTCTCTCTCTCTCTCTCTCCTCGGGCAAAGTTGTTTAGGGGTCCCCCTTGTGGGAAACACAGGCATTGGCTGGCCGGTTTGACTGAAATGAGTGCATGTAATTTGGACACAGACTAGGCTTGTTCACGGAAAGGGAAATGTTTCGGTTCGGAACTGTTCATCTGTTTGTTTCTTCTTTTTTTGTTGTTTTTTTCGTCGGGGAATTCTCGTATTTCACCTAGAGGCGGATTTGACATATGTACAGTGCAACTGCAATGCGAGTCTCTGACAAACATCTTGACAATTTTATTCAAGCTTGCTCCGAGCCACAACACTTTTTGGTTTGGACCATTTGAGTTGTTTAATAAAACGTTTGGTTATGTCTGTTGGCCAATCCACGCAGGAAGTGAGAACAACCGAAGGCACAACAACTGCTTGGTGTTTGTTGTTTTCTTTCATTTGATGGAACGCGGATGTGGGGCCATTTTGTGTTCTGGGAGCAACCCTGTTGGTTGTGTATCTTTTGAGAACATGCTGAGGGGACAACCCGATTCTCCCGGGGCTTTGCTGATAGGTTTTCTGGGATAGGGAATCAACCAACTTGACGGCCGCAAACAAAACAATGCACCCAGAAGACAGGACCCCCCCCAACAACAGCTTTTTCCCAGGTCCAACATCCCACTGCTGGAGACCACCACAATGTTTAGCACGTGGGCTTGTCTCAAAATGTCGGGACCCCAATGGCATTGGTTACATGGCAACTTGTTTGCCCAAATGACAGGGGCCGCCCAAATGGCGGTACCCAAATCCAGCGCTTCCAGACAAGCCGCTAGGTAAGCACCGGAAACCATCATGTAAACTTCCTAGTAGAAAACCTTGAAAGTACTGGGAGGGCTACGTAATCCTCTTGTTCCAGGTCCAAATGGCAAGGTGAGGAAAATTCCCTACTGCCTGAGTTCTTGGACTGGATTTTTTGTGGAAAGACAACTGTAGTGGTAAACAAGAAGTTCAGACTTGTCTTGGGCCAATCTCTCAGGGACAAAGCGCTTGGACTCAGGATAGTGTTCCAGAGGGAACCCTGAAGAAAGCTCCCACCTAAAGGGGGGAAAAGATGTCCTTGGAATTTCAAATATTCCAGTTCCCTTTTGAAAAGACTGTCGGAATTTGGGATCCTCGTTTTCTCCTAGTGTGGGAGCTAATCAGGGGTTTTGGGTTTTGCTTTCACCGCCGAGTACTCTTTAACGGAAGACCTGGCGGTGGCCCAACCCTGGCTAAGCCCTTTTGCGGGAGCTGTGTGCATCTCTGCTCTCCACTGCTTCAGGTTTCCCTTGTTGCTGGTGTATATCCCTGCGCCGACCTCAGCAAAGCGCCAAATCAGAGAGAGGTGTCCAAGTCGCGCTTGGGGGCCAGGTAAGTTGCCTTCATCCATGTTATTGTTGGGCCACTGGCCTAATGAGACTTGCCTACGTTGTTCTTCCCAAGTGAAAGCGGGCAAACCCTTGGTGAATTGGAGCCGAATCGGTGGTTGGATTTGGATTTGAACGGGGGCTGGTGCTTGTAGAGGGTAAATGGGAAACCACTCCCAACCACTAAACCACCAATCCAAACAACTTCCCTGCAGATCAATTCTCATGGCACCCAGGAAGATCCTCGTGGGCTACTCCTCTTGGGTTCCATGGTAGGGCTGAACCCCCCCCCCCGCTTCAGCCACGTAGATGAATGGAGAAGCGGTAACACAACGGAACCAGTTTCCCTTGGGTACCCTTTGGCGGTGCTCTTTTTCGGGAATGGAAAACCCACGCATTCTTCTCTTAAAATAGCTGTCCACTGAAAAGTATGGCACCTTTTGGTTTGACCCTCGGTCAACCGAAAGGGGAAGCCCTATCATGGCTGGTTTTTTTTGTTCGCAATCGTTTGCTTCTTTGGTTCCACCTCCCAGATCCATGCACCTGTATAGTAGGAAACCAAGGGAACCACCCTTTCAAAACCAAATCGGGAAATGGCTGGCTACCCTTAGAGGTACTATAAGGGCAACTGGGCTTTATTTGGGCCTAATAAAGTTCCCTCGAACAATTCCACCCAAAGTCCCGTTAAAGTTAAACTTTTAGCAGGAGTTCCTTCAAACAGTTCCTTCTTTTCGTTCCCTTCCTGCCACTTCGCCTCCGTTGCCCCAAACGAGGCCTCGGTGGTGGCGGTGCTGCTGCTGTGCTGCGGCATCCTCTGCTGGCGCCTGGTGCGGAGGCGTCTCGGGAAACCCGAAGCGCGCCAGCGCGTCACCGCAACTAGGGAACCAACCACCATGGACTCAGAAAAGGAAACCAGCAGGTTGGGTTGGAAGCCATGGGTTTGGTTGAAAAGCGGTTTCTCTCGGAAATGAATTGGTTTATGGCCTTGTGCTGGCAATGGCTTGGATGTGGGAAACACATGCAGCCCGCCCCAATTCCAATTGCTAGTAACTGCGGTAATCTGCCCAGAGGCATTGGAGTTCCTATCCAAGGCAAATATCGGCCCAACAGCACCCAGAGATGCGCTGAAAGGTTCCTTTGGTTTGGCTTTCTCTACCAAAATGGGGGGGAGATCGATAACGCAGCTACTCCAATTGCTCACATTCTACCAGGGCCCATAGAAGCAGACCACCCCGCGTACGAACCACTCCAAACAACAAACGTTTAAGCTAAAAAAAGCAGGCCGAACGCTTTGCCAAAGGTGTGACAAGAAGGGAAACCACCAGCTTGGAACATAATACAAAGATACTAGCAATACTCATACGACTAACATATGTGATAATAATCCTAGTAATCATATAGCTCTAAAACTGATTATAATCTTATGATACACATCATCATTATAATCATTATGATAATTAATTCTAGACATGATGCAAAATTTAATTGTAACAATGTCAAGTGCCGACAAAAACACCGGCCACTCGGGCGAGGAGCTGCCGCGTGCCAGAGCTGTCGCTGCCCACGGTGCAGCTCCGGAGGACGGAGTCCGACTCGTTCGAAGGGGCTTTGGGTTCCGTGGGCTCGGGAATGCAACCAGCCCAGCGATTTGTTTGCCGGTGAGTTGCGGTTGGCTCCTGTTCTGGTTTCTCGGTTGTTGTGTTTTTTTGTTGGCTTTGTGATGTCCGTTTTTGTTGTTTTGGCGGGGCGCTGCCCTTCAGAATCAAGTGCCACAAACCCGAGCGCCCGGTTGCTCAACCATGGCCACCGGGGGTAATTAGGGGCCCTTATCCGTTGTGGTTTCCCCGAACACGTGCACGGAGGTTTTTTTGGAAATACACCGACTGGACATTGGCTGCAAGCCTCCTGTTTCCCATGGCCTGAAGGCAAGTTGGAAGGGCTCCTTCGGCCCCAGGATGATGAATCAGTGTCGGGTAGAGAACTGGTAAGCGAACGCTTCGCTTTGAGCAACAGAGTGCATTTGGCGATCCAATTCCAACGCGCTCTTTCACGCTTGAAGGATGCGTTTGTCCGACCCTTCGAAGCCCTGTGGACGCTTTTCGTCTCACCTAGTCAGTTTGGTTGTCTCAAAATAGGGGAACCTCCCAAGGAGGTCCTTCAGAGTCCATTAGCAAAATGCTTGCCTCAACATTGCTGTACTTTGATCGATCCCCACCTATCACATACCACGCTTTCTCCCGCACCAACCTCGAAGTAGTTTTAGGCATAATCATTATTCATGGCCATGGAGCACAGAAGTAATTCCTTATTGATCACACAACATAACCCTACGGTTCTCACGTTTAAATAAAAAGGTCTACCCAATTGAACCAGCTGCAAGTACTATTGTCCTTGGCTCACATGTGCCATGCCCAAAAGACCCCTTCACTTGGGGTTAACAGGGATGGTCATGCTGGTAGCAAGAATCCTTAACCACCATGATAGCATGGTTTTTGTTTTGTTTTTTTAATCAAGGGAACCATATGGCTGTGGGTCACAATCGTTTTGCTACCAGTTTGGGGTAGGTGCACCACCCATTTTAGTCTATTTCAGTGGGGATTGGGATGTTCACGGGCGGATAAGCAGGCTTTTGACCCATGGCCATACAAGGAGTTCGGATTTTTACGGTCAAATGGAAATTTGCCAGCTTTCAGCCCTGAATTCGATTGCCAGGCAGGTGCCGCCACCCGCGGATCCGTTGGCCAGGCAGCTGCAGGCAGAAAGACCTGAGACATGGTTCTTCGTTTCTTGCGCCTGCTGGTGGTTTTGAACATGGCTGTGGGTCAAAAACATGTACCAAAATGGCACCTTGGTAAATGGAATCAAAGACGAAAACCTGCGTAAGCCTGGATCTTAAGTTTTGAGCCACACCCACATCATTTTGTGGTGCCTTTGAACGTGAGCCTCTTTAGGATGGGGTGATTGTTAAAGGGGGAATATAGGGGACCGGTTAAAATTGGCTGCCCTTTGGTGTGACCTTTGGCATCCCAGCATCTCAGGTTCTGATTTGCTTTGTTCTTAGGATAGAGCCCGACTAAGAAACTCTTGATGCCCATATCTTGACTAGGAGGTAGGCGGATATGTTGGTTTGCTCATCAGCTGATGCCGCTAGTAAACTTGGGAGGATGAGAGACAACTGTCGATACCAAAGCCGTACGTGTCTGGTGAGTGGCAAGCCAATGCAAACAACTTGTGACAAAGTGTTGTTTGCCTTGCGCCGCATCCACTAGAGCTGCCTGATGTTGCTGTAAAGCGAGTCGAAACGAGCCCAAACTTAGATCTTAATCCAATGTTGGAATCGCAGAAGGCAGCGCAATTGGCCAGCAGCTCACATCAAATGTTTGGTACCTGTCTTTTCCCTGCCAAGATTATCAAGTGCAAACATTTGTTGGAGGTTGGCGTTGACTGTAGGCCACAACTGCTTTCTCCAGCTATGGTTTCTGACATCCTGGAGACTGGCCCTTGGCATTGCAGCGCTAGAAGGCGCCGCCTGCATTTGCGACTTCTTGCTGGAAGGCCACCTTTAAAAGTTCGCTTTGAGGAGATGGAGACAGGATAGAAGAACACATTGACATGACTCTTGATGCCTCGCTGCACCAGCGCGTCCCAAGCGCGCGCCTGACATCGTAGTTTGTAGGTGTCACTTTGCGAAATACGTGCGGAGCGCTAGTTGAAGAAACATGGTTGCGCTTTTGCAGAATGATCATGAATTAGTAAACTTGGGGTGGCCAAAATAGAAATCGCCTTTTGCCTGATCTTCGGCCTGTGAACCTTTTGGAACACAACCTCAGCTGTTTTCGTTGAAAAACAAAGGAAAATAAAGAAAGAAACAACTGCTGTTTCGCTTGGCGCAAACGGCCGCACTGCTTGCTTTTGCACTTTTGACCTGGGTACGTTCAATGTTGGGTCCATTGAGTGAACATTGTGGTTTGTCCATGACAGAGTGGCGGCATTGGAGCCCCGCAGCTAAGCGCCAAAATCTAGTCGGTGTGGAGGTCTAAAAGCCCTTATTTCGGGCTCCCTAGGTTTTCGGGTGTGTCGTTTTTGAGGGTATAGTAGTTTTCCAGGAAAGCCAACAGGAAAACCGTTGCGACATTTTGGGGATCCCCATTTGCCTCAAAATAGGAGATCCTTGAAAGTGGTGGATTCTGTAAGGCGCAAATTGCGAGACCAATGAACCTTTTATGTAGCGTCCAAGATCCCGCAAATACACTGGGACGGACCCGCAACAGAGCCTGAAACTTTGATAGATCTTTGTTGACCATCCCTTGCGTTGGAACACAACGGGCCCCATTCGGTCATAGGTGTTTTTTCCTCAGTTTTTGGTGGGTTTTGGACATCACAAATTGCTCAACGGCTGCTTTGAAGACAGAGTTGACTTGCTTTCGCAAAGGTGCAGAGCCATTTACTATTCAAACATTTACAGCGCATTCCCGTTTCAAACTTGGCGATTCAGCCATACCCTTACCCAGACTTTTAGATGTTTGTCGCGGAGAGGGTCTCACGACGTTTCCCACCAACAGCTATAGTTCTAGCAAGGGACCAACGAACCACGAAACGCAGCTTTCTGCAGATGAACATGGCACCCGAAAAAAGTCCTTCATGTGTAGAGGGCCTCCCCTAAAAGGTCCCCTAAAAGGCCTCTGTTCGGATCCATGTTAGTTTACAGGGGTGCTACTCGCAACAAGCTCTCCCCCTGCGCAGAAGAACCCGTGCCAGGAAGCCACGGAGCGGGCGTTGCAGGCGCCCATCGAGGCCAACCGATTCGCCCAAACCGAGCTCGCCGATTCGGGGGGTAAAAGGAGCTCAAGCCAAAGGTCCTTTACGCGATCCCCCAATTCAGATTTTGGACATATAAAATGCAAACAGATCCAGTGCACAAGTTCAGGCTTTGGGATTGAGGACTTTGCAGATGTTGCTCCAAAGAAGCTTGGATTCACATGACTTTACTTTCCACTCCGGTCTCGCCGGCGCAACTCCCACCGCCTGCAACTCTCCCCTGGCTGCCCACTCTTTGCCTTGCTCTTTTCCCAATTCGCTCTGCGCCTCTGAGTCTTCGCCGAAGCCTTCGCCGCTCTGTTCTCCATTCCCTGCTCTTAAAAATTATACTCTCACCAACACAAGCATGACACCTGAAAGGGGTCCCTACAAGAGCAAATGCATCTTCCAGGTACCCTCCCGCAGGTGCTATGTTAGTGGCAGGGAGGGTACTCTCTTGGACTCTGCCGTGAATTTCGGGCATTGTTCCTTCAAATGGTTCTTCGCCCAGAGGACGCAGAGCTTTTCAAGCCCTTTGGCTGTTGCTGTGTCATCTCGTGAAGCTTTTCAGTCAACCCCGAAAAGTGAGGTGGCATTGATCTTGCGCAGACGGCGGACGCTATTTTTTGGTTTGCCTCCCAGTTTGCCTCAAGTGGTTGTGTTCCAAAACTGACATGGAAGGACCCAACACCATGGGCAGTCTCCTGTTCGGTTCCGTTGAAATACATACTAAATGGGAAACCTGCAATTCAACAATAATGGTGTTCTGTTTGTCCTTGTTTGCTCAGAGTTCCGCATATGCAAACAAAGCTGCAGGGGTACAGAACACAGGGTCATTCCTTAGGTTTGATCCTTGGTCTTGGCAAATTTTAATGTGTTGGGGGAGTAAAGCGAGCTCTGAATGTCCTTTACTGGGGGGATTCCTCCATTTGCGAATTGTAACCAATTGCACAGGTTTGATCCCCTATATGACTCATGAAAAGTCTTCCGAGACTAGGGGTTGTGGGAGGGGGGGTCCGGAACCCTTTGTTTTCGGTTGCGAAGCGCAGGACAAAGACGTCGTGCCGAAGAGTTTCTCCGTGCTCGACCCCACGCGCAAGGATCGAAAGCAATGCCGAGATGCCAGCTTTCAGGTGAATCTGGGTGCTACATACCCCCTTATAATCGGGGGGGTGGTCTTACAAAATAATTACACCTGAAAACCCTCAACCCTCTGGTGGTTCTCCTTTTGGTGTCCCCTTAAGAACCGCAAAACAAGTACCATCAAAAAAAGTTCCAGTAACCAAAAAGGAATATGTAATTGGTTTGAGGCCCAAGTAGCCTATTGCGTGTGTGTGTGTGTGTGATTTCTTCCTGAAGTAAACAAAACGATGTGTTTCCTTTGTTTTGTCAACTTATCTTCCAGCCAGCTTAGCACTGGGAAGATCGCGTCTGGGCAGTGGGTGGGTTGGTAGAAAAGAATTTGGGGTTCTTTTCCCCCAAAAGCGCCCTTCCCCGCACTTTTCGCCATTCCCTTGGAAGGAACACGATGTTTATGGAGGGGAGCCCCGCAGCAGTTTTATCCGTGCAGTCGGGATCCTGGATGCCGCATAAAATGGTTGCCGGATTTGCACCATGTGTCCAACGTTGCGGGCTTGAAATTTGGGAGGTGTAAACTTGCTGGTTCGCAGCAGGGAATGCGGGAATGACCCCTACCAAGCCATCCAACTGGTGGTTTCCTTTAAGCGGACCAACGCCTGAGTTCGTTCCCTCATTGCCTTAAGCACCTATCGCGCCAGCAAGTAAAGCGAGCTGACTCAGAAAGAGGGCTGTCCGACTTGGGCATCTCGGAAACTAGCCCTTTTTTAGCTGTCCTCCCCAAAATAACTGGGTGTTCCTTGGGTTTCTCTTTACATCCACCAAACAAGGGGCACCCTCAAAAAAGGCACACCACTGGAGAAATGTGGTTAGAAACAATTGGATGACACTGGTTAAGTGTTTGTTCATTTACCGGGGCCAACTATTTCTCCAAAAGGCCGCCTATGAGTCTTAGTTTTACCTTGTTGGCTTCAATAGTGAGTGGTGAATGTATGAGGGCTTCACCAAGAGCTGGAAACAAGCCGGTTCAGGGTTCCCTATGACAAACACTCAAACATGGTTCGGTTTATCCTAGTGCAAGTTCCAGGTTCAAGAACCCTTAATGCGGGACGCCATAACGGGCTTGGATTTCAGAAAGAAACAGAACAGCCCGATGGACCGGATGTGCTGAGAGGTGTGCCCCAACCAAAAAACAAAACTGCCGGAAGTTGCCCGGAAAACACCCCGCTTGCGCGATCCCCCATTAATGGCCGGCAAGCAAGTGGAAGTAAGGGGATCAATCGGGCGGCCTTGAGAGTGACAGGCTCCTCGCAACCAGGTACAGGAAGTCCTACAAGAAATTAGCCAACCGCCCCACCCAAACAGGCGCGCTCGGCTTTGTTTCCCTGGCTCAACATGGTGATTGGGCCTTGTTCGTGGTTGCCAGCACAGACCCGCGGCCTCCGCAGGAATTCACACGCGTCGGAAAGCTCTTGGAAGAGTGGGAAGAAGAGGCCTGCGGCTGCGGTAGATCTGTCCACAGTGGGTCTGGGAGGGTAACTGTTGTGTGTGGTTTCTGTAATGGTGGCTTGCAAAAGGCAATTATTTTGTTGAAAATGCGCTTGTCGTTGCACATACAGCAATATATCAAATATATATATATATACATTGTTTTTGTTTGTTTACTAAAACATATATATATATATAGACATAGCAGGGTTCAGATAGCGTCACCACGCTGTCTAGTGTTGATTGAAGAACAGGCTTCCTTTTATAGTGGCCATGTTCGCCTTTACAGCAGATTACCCTCTGACATCAACCGGCCAGTCAACACAAGCAGTCCATTATCCCGGAAGTGTCGGGTGGCGGATCGCTTGCAGGCCACGGCGATTGTTTGAGATCGAGGGTTAATTTCGTATCCAGCTAGATCCATGTTGATGCGACGGAATTCGCGAATGTTCGCCCCTGATTAGTTAACCTTGTGGATTCATAGCGGTATTTTCATCAGAAGTAAAGGATCGAATCGCTTTGTGACTTGTTTTTAGTGCAGCCCAGAGACGCTGATAGCAACAGTGTCTATTCCATTCATTGCGAGACTTGGCTCACCTTTCTCAGCCCTTGCAGTTTTTGAGGTTCCCTTTGAACCAGTGCCTGTCATTGCGAGACACAATTACCCTAAGATATCTTGGGAGTCGCTGCCAAGCATGTGATTTGATGCGAATTCATGTGATTCTCGCGAACATTTGGGTGTGTGTGTGTGTGTGTTTTTAAGGATTTGGACCCCCCCTATGGATTAGGGTTTTCCTTTTGGTATCCCTTCACTCACGAGCCCGCACAAACCGTTAGCGGAAATCCGCTGGATCGCGCTGGCCTGGAGTCGGGATTTGAAGCGGTCAGAGGGCTAGATACTAGGGGTCAATACCGGGGTTCATGTAAGAGCAACATAAGCACAGCCCTGGAACCCCCTTCTCCGGACCCTGTGATCGCTGCCCCAAACCAAACCTGAGCCTATTTGGGCAGAGACACTACAACTTGAAGCTGTTGGAGAACTGCACTCCAGTGGAAGGGGTTGATGCAAGAGGAACGCTGAGATGATATCCCCAGAACTCCATTGTCTTTGTCTAGACCCCTTTGTCTACCTTTCTTCAGACGATTACGTGGAAGCTCTCAGGGCTGTGAAATTCATTCGGGATCAAGCTAGCAAAGCGTGACATGCCAAACAACTGGCTGTTGATCATGGATGTGCGTCAAAATCAAGGAACCCCCCGCAATTGTGGTCTCCCTTTAAGCGAACCTGAAAGGGTAAAAGCAGAACCCCACAACCCCACATGTAGGGTTGGAGTGGAAATCAAACCTTCGGCAGAGGAGCACCGCTTTCTTCACATCAACAACGAGGAGCAGGCGCTGTTTCCCGCGCGAAAGGTGTGAAAAGTGCGCACGCGAATCTTTGTTTTGACACTTGGGTGTGTGTTTTGTTGAGGGTACCCTTTCTCGGTTGGTTTGAAGGGAGAGCAAAAGGGAACCATTTGGTTGGCCCCTCCAGACCCTGGTCACACACCCATTTGGTAGACCGACCTGGGGTCTCTTACGGTTGTGGAACACTTGGTAGGACCAACTCCTACAAGGGAACCCCATCGGAAGTGATAAAGCAGGGGGTGACGGGGGTGATGTTCCTCATTTTTGGGATTTCTGTTGAATCAGTGATGTTTACTGACCATGCACCAAGTTCAGATGCATTTGCTGCTTGGGCACAAGCATTACCCTTTGCTGAGGTAAACATGTAGAACACGCTAAAACCTTGGGGTGAACATTGACCACGAGAGCGGGAGAGGCATATGGTTGAATTTGGACCGGAGTTGCACAAGTTTGAGCAAAGAGCAACCTAGCTGTTGATTTGAACCCCTGGCTGTTGTAGAAGGTAGATGGGAAACCATTCCTCAACCCACCAAACCACCAATCCAAACCACCAATCACAAGGAAGCTGACTAGAGGAGTGGTGGACTCGTGAACATGTTCACCTTTGAAGGTTCAATCGTTTCATGTTGCCGTATGAAGAACGGTCCAAGTTAAAGGGTCTATGTTGGGTATCTTCCCTCCCACCAACTACTGCAGCGTGAATCCCCAACAGAGCATCCCACCAACAGATATGTTTGTTGAAATGACCCTTCTAGGTTCCATGTCAGTTTCCCATCTCATGAAGTCGTTGTTTTTATATCTGTATTTGATGGACGTGAGATCCATGCTTGACTACTCACTCTCTGAGTTTCACTTTTTGGGTTTGGGCCATTTTAGTGGTAAACGAAAAGTTTGGACTTTATTTCGCCCATCCGCTCAGGAAGTGAGTGATTGAAGCTGACTAGCAATTCGTTCTGGCTTGCTGAAGCACTCAAGGCCCTCAGCAGGCCACTTGGTGAGTCCCCTTTCTAAATATTTAACAACATCCATGTGTCCAAGTCTAGACACCCAAATTGTCCAGACAAGTCTTGGCCCGCCCAATTTTCCCATGTCCTCTTAGGGCAAACAAGTGAGCGCAAGAGTTGTTTCATGGTTTTCCTGGTTTGGCCGGGCCGATATCATTGCTTGGCAGGCACAGCTCGTGGGCAGATCCGGCTTTGCAGACGGGAGGCATGGGCTTTTCGCGCTTTTCTGGAGCCTGGTCCAAAAAAGCTCGACTGTTCATTTTTTGGGCAGGGCGAAACTGAAATTTAAAGCTCGATGTTCTGGTTGTTTTCCTTGCTCAGTCAAGACCGGAGACTGGCCCTGTGGAAATCACTGGCTTCAACCCAATGTTGCTAGCCCCGGAGTGGCAGAGAATGTGTTTCCCCTAAAGTCAAGTGCTTATTTCAGCCAAAAAGCAAAGTCACCAAAGAGGCTTCAAAAAGCGAAGGATGCGCATGCGCAACGTGCAGGCCGAGAATTTGCAGATGTTCGCAGGCTTCGCACCTTATGTGCAAGGCAAATCTCAAATCATGAGGGACTCCGACGGCCATATTCCAGGGCTCTTTGGTGACACTGGACCAGAAGCGACAGATAACACTATTCGCGGAGTTTCTTTGGCAATACTCAAAGCGAGTCGTGGCGCTGGAAAACAACGACATTCAATTGCTCGAGCAGAAAGTTGGGCACGCTTGCTCCACAGAAGAACCTTGCCGGGTTGCTTCCCTTGGTTTCCCCTCAATACACCCCCCCCCCCAAATAAGCCTACCCAAACACAATTGCCCATTTCACGTATTTGGTGCCGCATGTTTGCTGCAACTTGGCTGCAATGATTAACTTCCCAATGTGTTTTGCTTGCAGCCTCCAACACGGTCATAGCATGTCACAACCACAGGATCAAACCTGCCTTGGGAATATACTGCAAGCTTACTTTCAGGGCACCACCATTACTGGGCCAAAGGCAAGAATACAAAACATATCCATGCCCTTGCGCTTTCAGGGTTGCTCACAAAAAGCGGTGAGGGGGGAAGTCAGCAGCACATGAGCAATGCGTCTTTTCTCCCCATCCCTTAGCTTGGAGTCTTGATCGAAAGCATTGGCCTTCTAACCGCCTGGCGCCTACTGTCGAAAAGTGCCCAAAATTTGCTTCCAAAGGAGGTCACCCCCCGAAAAAAGGACAGGGCAAGTCATAGGTGCCCTTTTGATCAGTTAGTTTGGCCAGAAACGGATGGGTTCCACTGCGTTAGATTTTGTTCATTTGCCAGGGAACATTCAACCATTTTGTCCAACTGGCCATGCCGGCAAGTGGTCTTCTTGAAGCTTCCTGCCCGCTTCCATCCGGAGGGTAGATCTTGAAGTCAGCCGATGCTATGGATCAGGTCCTCCTGGTCCCGGCGCATGCCATACCCCAAGGAGCCCAAGCAAAAGGCGCGGAACAATAATCCGCCACGGGTCGAGACCCAACCCGATTTTTTTGTGGGGGGCCCCCGGAAAAATGTGGATGAAGGGGATGACTTCACAGTTGGATCATGTTTTTAGGTTTTAGGCTTTGGTTCTGTTGATTTGTTGTGGGGGACTGCAAAGAAAAAGGTTGACTGAAATCTTTCGGGGCGTCCGAAGCTAGCCTCCCGTGGCTCAGTGCGCTGGCTTTGTGTCGGTCCAAGATGGGTCTTGGGTGGCGGAGCTATATGGGTGTGTCTTTTTTAGGTTGGACCCCCGAAAGAATAGGCTTCCTGTTCATTTCCGTTTTAACCCCCAAAAACGGGTGCCCTCAAAAAGAGACAGATCCAAATTACCATAGACAACTTGCAGGTGTTAGATCTCACACCCCCAGTTCCTGGACTTGAAGCTGTGGGAAGATAGCTTTGGGAAGCCTTGCCAAGTCTGGACTTGCTCCAGCCGATCCACTCAGGTGGGTGTAGCTGGTTTTGTTTGGTTTGCGAGGTTGTCCACACTCCTTGTTCGTATTTTGTTGGATAGGGCTAATGAGAGGCTGGTTGATTGGTTGATAGCTTTGAGGCCCACTCCGGACCTCAAGGGAAAAGGGGTTAGTTCCAAACTTGCGGCAGGGTGGGGTGGGGTCCTTGAGACGTGTTGCTGTTTTCTCCAATAGCTTTCCTTGGCAACTTAGCACAGGGAATGCTTGGCATGGAGGAATGACTTATGCTTATTGGACCGGGCGTTCTCACAGAAGTGGTCATTTCCCACAACCCTGACTTGGAGTGCGACGGCTGGGACTTGTTGATCCGGCCCCACCTGATGAATCAGTTCTTTTAAGGGTCCTGCAGGGAGTTGGCCCACAGCCCCCATTTGGATTCGAAAAGCCCTCGGGAAACGTGGTTCGGAGCAAGCACTTACAACTGTGTATGTATATATATATATATGTGTTAGTGATTCGGGTATGTGTCCAGATGGCGCCAACTGAAATCAGTGACTTGTGGCTTCCCGGGGTCAACGAACGCTTACGAGTCTTTGTATCGAAGTGGCTGCCGTGAAAGCTGCGAAGACTTCCATCCAGCTTCTTCAAACTTGAGATTGGTTCAGCGGTGCACCAGATGTCGTGGGACTTTGGCCAAGCCATTTCAGGAAGTGAGGATGTGGTTTCCTTCGAGTTTGAGCCGCGCCAATCGAATTATTCTGATGCTCTCTGGAAGAATTGCAGCTACGTGGTGCTGGGAAATGGTTTGACTTCTCCAAAACTGGGGGATAGATTGTTCCTGAGACGTATCACAGGTGTATGAGCCAAGCTCTTTCCCACCCTGAGAGAGAGCTATGCTTCGGATACGGTTCTGCAGCTTCGTTCAAATTCTGAGTTGATTGGTTGGTTGGTTGGTTGGTTGGGTTGGTTGGTTTGGTTGGTTTGGTTGGTTTGGTTGGTTTGGTTGGTTTGGTTGGTTTGGTTGGTTTGGTTGGTTGGTTTGGTTGGTTGGTTGGTTGGTTGGTTGGTTGGTTGGTTGGTTGGTTGGTTGGTTGGTTGGATGTCGACACAATTGGGCTCCAGAGCTTGCCCTTTTGGTGGGTCCCCAAAACTGGCTTCGCAATGGATGGCTCCACCGGCTCCCCTCTGTATGCATTGGAAACCGCCAGGCAGTGAGCGAGCACGAGCGCGCTGACGTGCCCCTGGACCAGAGGCCTGTCAGAGAAGGGGGCGCATTCCGCTCAGGTGATTCCTCTAAAAAGGGGCCCCCATCCATTGACCGAAAGTTTATCAATCTGGGGTAAAGATGACCTCTTTGTCCACAATCCGGTCGTGCTAGAAAAGATATGAACAGGGGTGCAAAAGGTCCATGGTCATTTGGGGCCAAGAATATTGATCAACCCCCAAATTTGCTTGTAGAGTTGAACATTGGCCACGTGTCATCTCGAGGGAGAGGCGGGCTTTCGGTTTTGCCCTAGTCCCTTGAAACAGCGCCCAAAAATAAGCGTTGGTTTCACAAACATTGTCATAAAGGTTTATGATATTTGCCTTACTACAACGCACGGCAAACCATGTGGCACCCAGCTTACCGTTTCTCCCCAAGTTGCTTGAGGTGAGGTTTTACCCCGTGTTTCGAATGACAATGGTCGTGACTGGCACATGTTCTCTCCATGGGCTCCAGCACGAAACATTTGGGAAGTCGTCTATAGGTTGAGGCCCTCATGAAATGACCAGCCGTTCCTCGCGGGTTGTGTCGGGATCGACCCTACCAGGATTTGGGCAAAGAAATATTGTGGCCCTCTGTAACAAGTGTTCTGGTAGTGATGCAAGTGGACTGGAGGTGAAAGACCGAAACAAAAAGTCCACCAGAGATTGGGAGCGTGGGATTCTGTTTTTTTCCAACCCGGAGGCCTGTTGTTCGACCTCCATTGCTTTTGGATGGCCCCGACACCTCAAGAGTTTAAGCAATGTCGTTGGAAGACCCTTTCGAATTTCCTTGTGCTGTGTTTTTCCTTAGATGGGGTGTCTTGGCTCAAAGGCGACCGAACCTGAGGATCACATGCGTCTGCTAGCCCAGTAGGCTTCAACCCATTGCTTTGTGAGAGATTGCCCATTTCTTTTTCAAGTCTGCCTTGGCCAACAAATGAGCGACGTGTTTTTCTAGATGAAGCGGGGAACTGCCTTGGCCGCTTGCCACTTGGAACGGGCGTGACCACTTTCTTTTCGGCGCCTTGCATGGGTGTGCCTCAAAATAGGAACGGTGACGACTTTTAAATATGTGGGGGCCGGGCCAGGGCTTCAGGGATGGAAGGTACGTAGTGTAAGACAGCTGTTTAAACCGGAAATTTTAAGTGGTTGGCCGGGCCATTCTCACGGGCCGTGGAGGTAGTATGAAATACTAATTAGGATATTTAAATGGCAACACCAAGACAGATCCCTTCAGCAAACACAGGGCGTAGCACAGTTCAAGCACTTGCTAGCAGCTGCGTTGCGCTAGCTCCTGCCAAGCCAGGTCAGATTGCACCACAAAGGTCCAACCTAAGGCGCCATGTCGGTGCAACACCGACGCCTGCAATTGCAGACCAATGCTTTCGTACTTCCATGCTACATAAACGCCTGGAATTGCGGAGCTAAGTGCGCTGAATTGAGCTGCCTGAGCCCTGTCTACGTGGCTCGCGGAGAAAGCAAGAAAGACAAAGACATGAATGCCCCCTCTCGGACGGGGCTCCCAGATTTCCGTGAACCCTTGAAACTCCTGGCGTCTTGGGACGGGGCTTGTTTTTTCAACAAATCCCAGAATGGAAAGAATTGGGAGAGAAGAAACAGAAGCAAGAGAAAGAGAGAGCAAGAGAGGGAGAAAAAGAGAGAGAGAGAGAGAGAGATAGAGCGACAGAGACAGAGAGAGAGAGAGAGAGAGTGTCTGGATCTGGCATTGGGCCCTGTGTCAGACCTGTTTCAGACCTGTTTGAGACCCCCTCATGTTCGCAAAATCCTGCCCGGAATCCCCAGCACCAGTGTGGCGGTGCAGCGGCTCCTGGGGAAAACTCCCAGATTTCCTTTCATTTTGAATCTCCTGGCTTCTTGGGATGGGACCTGTTTTTTTCAGCAAATCCCTGAACAACCGAATGGTTGCGGAACTATTTTTTCTTGGCAACAAACAGCAAGCAAATTGACAAGAACGACTTGGGCCTTCAGATGGAAGGCGTGGGCCCTTTGAGATTTTCAAGGGGGTGAAGCATAATGATGGCTGGTCCGTCGTGGCTTCGTAGGCTCGCGGAGACACAGCTGCGTGTAAACTGTAACGCGCGAGCCCATGTAACAGCAATACCACTGCTTACATTGGCTCTGACTTTGCCTTCCTTCGCCTGTTGACTGTCCGGAACAAGACGTAACGCGTAATACCTATCTAAATCGGGTATTTAAATGGGTCGGCCGGGCTGGCGGTAACGCTGGCTGAAGTAGTGTAAATCTTGGTTGACCTATTTAAGTGTCCGGGTGTTTGAGTGGCGATTTCTCTTTGGTTTCCCTTGACATACCAACCCAAGGAGGGGCGACCATTTTTTAGAAACTCCCAGATTCCGATGATCCAGGTTCATTCCACCTTTGCAGCGGAAGGGCGGCGCTGGAGGCGTTCCGCAAACTGAAAGAATCCGAATCCCTCAATTATCCTTTAGCTTTTTTGCGCGGACTCCCTCAAAGTGGTCGGTTTTGGTTTTTGCCCTTGAAACAAAAAGAATGAAAAGGGGTTCCCCCCCCCAAAAAAGAAAACAGACAAAAAAAGAAAAGAAGACTATATATGGATCAGAATCCAACATAGTGTGATTCTTGGTTGGGGGACAACAGCTAAGGCAAGTTTGGGTTTCCCAGTTCAGACTCCACCGTATAAATCCTTCTTGTTTGGTGGCTATCTTGGGGGGGTCCAATTTGTTGTTACCAGGATCACTCGACAAGTTGGCATTTTCATGTGGGTTGTTAGGTCAGCTTACCACTTCTCTACGGGTGCTGCCTTTAGATGCCCCAGAAGTGGTTAAGCTACACTTCACACTGCTCACAACCCACCTGAACATGCCCAGACTTGGCTGTGGTTTGGTGACGCGACGGCCCTTCTCTGTGGGCTCCACCTGCTTGTTCAACAGCTTTTGTTGTTTTGTTGGGACTGCAACTTGGAAATGAGTGAACGAAGAAGGATGAGCTTGGTCCTATCCCATGGCAAAGGGCAAAGAGTGACGATTTTCGGACTTGCTAGCAAGGCTCCCAAAAGCTTCTGATGTTGACATTACTGTAAGCCTCACTTGGAGCCTTGGCAACCTGCGAGAGCAAAAATCGGTTTGCCCTCGATCGATTCGGGCGATTCGGACATCCAGTCGAGCCTAAAGTCCAACTCGAGACTCCGTTCACCTGAGGATGTCCATGGTTTGTCCCGCCAGGTGAGTCCAAGCCCAAAGAGGAGCGACCGGCAACGAGTGTTTGGCGTAAGGAGGAGACACCCAGCTTCCATTGGTCTTCCGCAGGAACCGAACCTCCTGCTCAACTCATCTACACTTAAACAATGTGGGGGTTAATCAAAAGATCCTTTACATGGGGTAATCATCGAGGAGGAACCCACAAGACAACTATTACATTTCCTATTAAACAGTTACCCTTGCTCATTTGGGGGCAAGCGACCCCAAACCCAAAAGGACCGAAACCGAGTATCCTGATACTCAGTTGATCAAAGGGAATCGACCTGACATAATTTGTGATGTTCCCATGTCGGTCCATTTGTAGTCCTCGCCCCAAAAGGACCACCTTTTATTTCTGGGTCCAAGTTAGAGCTAGAACAATTAGACCAGCAGATCAGACTCGACCTTTTGCTCGTGGGGGGAATGAGCATTATTGGATCATCGTCTCACGCCCTCAGCTTGCAGAAACTTGGCGTCTGGATCATTCGCAAAACGTAAGGACCGTTTTTCTGGCCATGGACGCCCCAAATTCTTGCGAACTTTGCCACATCGGGTGGGACAAAGCAAAGTTGATGGGGACCCTCTCTCTTTCCCAATTCCCGACACAAACTAGGGAACCCATGTGCCAAAGGCCACCAGCAACTGGCCGCCAGCGACTGACTGTGGTTATGTGATGTTCTCTCTGGTTTCACATTGTCATCGGGTCCTTTTGTTTGCCTTCTGCAGGGACCGAATTCCTCACTCCCTGAGTTCCTTCACTTTCGTCACTCTTTGGGTTTGGACCATCTTAGTGGCACACCAACAGTTTGAGGACTCTTGTTGGCCCATGTACTCGATCGGAAGGGAGACACGGTCGAATTGGAGCACCCCTGTTTGCTTTCGGAGAAGGGGGATGCGCTATGAGTTTAGAAAGCTTCCCCGAGCCAACCATCGACTTGCGGAGAGCTCAATCCAAGCCATGAATCAAGACATTTGTGCCATTTGGGTCAGTCTTGTTTGGAGGTGGTACCCGGTCTTGGTTGGTTTTTAATGACAACCAAAAGGAAACCGACCCCAACAAAAAGACACACCTGCTTTGTTCCCTGACCATGATGTTACTGATGTTTGATTTACACGAAGGTTTACTAAGCGGGATGGGTATGTTTGTTGTTTGTTCAAGACACCACCCAATTCCCATGGGCACTGGGCACGCGCCCCCTTCACATGCTTCTATGACTTGGGTTACAGACGTCGAGCCGATGAGTGATGGAATGAGCAATGAACCCTGTGGGGAGGTTTGGTTTGCCCGCAAGCATTCCCCCCATTTGGAAAGACCAATTCTGTGGTGGTTGGTGGGGCTAACAAGACCTGTCACAAATGATGGTTGTTCCCACGCTGCCATTTTCCATCAAACATCAAGCAGCTCTTTCCATTGGAGATTGGGCAGCTTTTCTTTCTGATAGAAGGCTGGGTTAATATCAGAGAAAGGGGCCAGCGAGGGCGCATCCATTTCCGCTCGTTGCTGAGGTCCCCCTCCCCCCTCCAATCGGCACGCCCATTCTGCCAAGTGGCGTTGACTGAATTGAGGCTGACAACCGGAGTCTGCCAAGTCTCGCTGCGCGCTCGAGCTGTTTCAGACGAGCCATGCTTCCATGGAGGGTGCAGTCAATTCTCACGCGAAAGCGACCTGAGTCCAACGTCATAGGCCAATTGCCTTGGTGCCAGGTGATCGACGTGAGCACTCCCACTCCAGGCAACAAAAGTGATCCGTTTGCGCGGCCCAACGGCCTCTTGCGAGAGAAGACATAGCGCATGTCGGCGTCGCTCGGCATGTGACCATGTGCCATGGCGAGGCAGAGCGCATATTCCAAGTTCCTCCTATTGGAGGAGGGAGCGCCTTTGGATGGCGGTCTGGCACAGGACCTGCTGAGGAACGCCGAACTCCGTAAACCTCGCGGGAAGCATGCCAAGCCATCCAGCTTCTTGTTTGCCCAACACGTGGGCATGGACAATCCCGATGCCACTAGCCCATCTGGCTGGCCCGAGATTTCCGGCGGCAAGACCTTGCTTTTGTTCGGGGCCGGTGTGGCAGTGGCCGGGGGCACAGCGGCCTTCCTCATGAACATGGACTCTGCGCCGCCACAGGCGACGGATGAGCCGGAAGCCGCAGCGCCGGAAGCACCCGCGGAGCCGGCCGCAACTGCGGCCCTGGACACGACGGCGCTGCTGGCGCATTTGGGGGCGCTGCGGGCGGAATTGGATGCGCTGGGGGAGACTGAAGAGGCACGAAGGGCACAAGTCAATCCGACCATGGATACGATTTGAAGGAAACAGCCCCAGAACAAAGTGCAGCCATTCCTGTTCAGGAAACTCTCATGTTGAAAAAACATGCTGCATACACATGCACAACATGCACGCATACATACATTCCCAACATTCCACAGAGAGTCCTGAACTATCTTGATGATTGTTCTTTTGTCGCCTGGGAGCTTAGCGCTTGAAAGCTTGACTGCGGATTTTTGGGACCTAGATTTGCTCGGAGGAGTCTCGAGCAATCTTGGTTTGAGGAGCCCGCGCTCAGGAAGGAATGATAATTTCTCAGAAGGTCATTTTGGATCGCTGCAATTCTAACCAAGCCTCGTCTGTCTGTTAGACAGGATTCGCTGGCAATCCTGCAGAAATGTTGAACGAATAGCTTTGTACTGGGCATCATTTGGCATCATTTGGCCATAGCTTCAGCTCGTTGGCGGATAATTACACATTCACATTGGCAGATTTATGTATGTGTTGTTTGTGCATTTGGTTGTATGTGTGCATGTGCTTGTTTGTGTTTGTTTAGTTTGTTTTGTTTGTGTTGTGTTGTGTTGATGTGTGTTGTTTGTTTGTTTGTTTGTGTGTGTGTGTGTTTGTTTGTTTGTTTGTTTGTTTGTTTTGTTTGATTGTTTGGTTGGTTGCTTGGTTGTGTGGTTGTTTGGTTGTTTGGTTTGCTTGTGTGTGCTTGTTTGTTGTTTGTTTGTTGGTGTGCTTGTTTTGTTTGGTTTGTTTATTGTTTGTTTGTTTGCTTGCTTGCTTGCTTGCTTGCTTGCTTTATTGCTTTCTTGCATGTTTGTTTGTTTGTTTGTTTGTTTGGTTGCTTCTTTGTTTGTTTGTTTGTTTGTTTGTTTGTTTGTTTGTTTGTTTGTGTGTTTGTGTGTTTGTGTGTTTGTGTGTTTGTTTGATTGTTTGTTTGTTTGTTTGTTTGATTGTTTTTTGTTGTTGTTTGTGTTTACTTGTTTGCTTGATTGTTTGCTTGCTTGCTTGCTTGCTTGCTTGCTTGCTTATTTGTATGTTTGTTCGTTTGTGTGCTTGCTTGTTTGTTTGTTTGTCTGTCTGTCTGTCTGTCTGTTTGTGTTTGTGTTGTTGTTTGTTTTGGTTTGTGTTGTTTTGTTTGTTTGTGTGTGTTTGTTTGTTTGTTTAAGTGTTGGGGTGTATTTTGTTTTGCTGTTCTTTTTGTTGCTTTGTGTTTGTGTGGTTGACTGAGGGTCTGTTTTGTTTTGCAGTGTTTTGTGTGTTTTGTGTTCGTTTGGTTGGTTGGTAGCTTGGTTGTTTGTTTGTGTTGCACATTTAGGAATTTATTGTTGTTCCTGTTTGTGCGTCTATGTAGTAGCTGAAGCTATTGTGTGGTGATTTACTAAGGCTTCTGTACTGGGGGGAGGGAGCCCAAAGTAGTCCTTAAGCCCTGAATCAGGCCCATGAAAGGCTTGGTCTCCCCTCACCCCTCCCCTCCCCAGCCCCTGGCCGCAGGCTGCCGGGCGTCGCGCGGAGCTACAGCAGGAGATCGCCAGCACCGAGCAGCAGCTGGAGGCGGCGAACCAGGAGACGTTGGCTGCGAGTTGGCCACCCCCCCGAAACGGACATCGCATACCGCGGAGGGGTCCTCTTTTTTGGGGGCTCCAAGTTTCTGATCTCGAGTCTGCGGTGGTTTGACTGACACCCCCGCCCCTTCCTCTAGAAGGGTAGCTAGTATAGGTGTCCTCTTGATCGCTTAGTCTGGCTGGAAGTAGATGGGTTCGACTGGTTTGGATGGGTTTGTTGTCCGTTCAGAACCAGTTGTTTTCCAAAAAGGCCTTCTATGATGCAAAAATACTATGCACAGACATCCCGCCGGGTCGTTATCCGTCGGTCTTTTTTGACAGGAATTTGCGTTTCGCCTAGCGTTTTCGCCCATTTTCAACAGAAAGAAAGGGCTTCCTGCGCACGGTCGTTTCGGTGTCGCCATTTTTTGGAAACACTGGCAGGCGTGGGTCATCACGCACCCCGTTTTCGCTTTGCTTTGTGCCTTCCTTTGAAACCATTCTTGAATGCTTAATCATGCTTTTGCATGGGAATTCTCGGTATTTTTTTGCCGCAGCGATCTTCAGCGATCAAACAACACATGTTTCAGGAGACCCAAAACGTATCATTTTTCTGGGTTTGGGGGCCCGGGGTTAGAATCATTGTGAAAGCATTGCCTTCGGAGACTTCTTTGTTTTTTTCTTTTTCGAGACTCGGATCGGATCAGGGCTCTTAAATCTGATACTGACCAGTGGCATGCGGAAGGTCCTTGGAGGTTCCCACCGCAAGGGTGCTTCCCATGTGTTGGTTGCGATCACTTGGGCGGGGGTCCTTACCATGTGTTGGGTGGGATCACTTGGGCGGGGGTGCTTACGATGTGCTGGGCGAGATCACTTGGGCGGGGGTGCTTACCGTGTGCTGGGTGGGATCACTTGGGCGGGGTTGCTTACAATGCGGTTGGGATCACTTTGGCAGGGGTGCTTCTTTCTAAGCGCACAAAACGTGGGCTTTGTATTGACGGTTTCCGACCCGACAGCACAAGCATGGATCATCACTGCAAGGTCCTGGTTAAGACCATTTCCCTTTTAATCGGACAATTTCCCTGGTGGTGGGCTCCATGTTTGTGGACTGGAGGGACCCCACAGATTATCATGGAACCCAGAACACCACTATGTGTAGAGGAATCTCTTCCGCTTTTGGATTCAATGTTAGT